TCTCCTCTTCTGTTACACAGAGAAACCCTGTCTCAAAAACAAAAACAAAAACAAAAAACAAACAAACAAACAAACAAAAAGGGCTCAGGCTGTAAGTAAGCCTGTAGGGCATTTTCTTAATTAGTGACCAGTGGAGGAAGTGCCAGCCCATTGTGGGTGGTGCCATCCCTGGACTGGTGGTCCTAGGATGTTGTTGGTTATTTTTTCACTCTTCGACCCTTTGGAGGACCCACAACCCAGCTCCCAAATAAATAGACACAAAGTCTTATTACTTATGAATGCCCAGCCTTAGCTTGGCTTGTTTCTTGCCAGCTTTTCTTAACTTATCCCATCTGCCTTTTGCCTCCGGGCTTTTACCTTTCTCTATTTCTGTGTATCTTTTCTTTCCTTCTTACTCCGTGTCTAGCTGTGTGTCTTGCTCCTTGCTCCTCTCTTGCTTTCTGATCCCTCTTTTTCTCCTTCTATTTAGTCTCTCTGCCTGCCAACCCCGCCTATCCTTTCTCCTGCCTTGCTATTGGCCATTCAGCTCTTTATTAGACCAATCAGGTGTTTTAGACAGGCAAAGTAACACAGCTTCTCAGAGTTAAACAAATGCAACATAAAAGAATGCAACACATCTTTGCATCATTACACAAATGTTCCCCAGCATAAACAAATGTAACACATCTTAAAATGATATTCTACAATACTGGGATCTATCAGAAAGCATGCCATGAGGAGCAAGCCCGTAAGTAGCACCCCTCTGTGGCCTCTGCATCAGCTCCTGCCTCCAGGTTTCTGCCTAGTTTGAGTTCTTGCCTTGGCTTCCCTCAGTGGACTGTGACTCAGGATATGAAAGCCAAATAATAAACCCTTTCCTCCCCAGTTTACTTTTGGTCATGGTGTTTCATTCCATCAACAGAAACCCTAAGACATCCATTTGCAAGCAGTTCCCAGAAGATGAGTGCAAGGCCAGGGTAAAATGAGAAAGGAGGGAGAGTTTCATTTCAGCAGACTGCCAAAATCAAAGGCTCCAGAGCCTTCTATATCCTTCTATAGCCATGTCCAGTTCCCTAAGGAGGGAGATGGGGACCATTTAAGCCACCTTTTCTATATGATGACACCCTCGGGAAATGAACTGCCACAGCTTTATTTCTTCATTAGGCCTCTTCAACATCTTCTTGTCCAGTCCTCTTCTCTGGAGGAGAAGCCTTTTGCTGTGATTGACATAACTTCATGGGCCCCAGAGCTTACTCCATCTACAGGAGAGCATGATAGAAAATTGCAGGCAACGTGGGTTCTAAGCTGAGGATTATTTCCTTAATTTACAGTTGGAGCCAACATCCTCGTAAGCCCAGTTGTCTGGCTGTTCATACCATGGTGGGATGGATCTGAAGGAAGGGAAAGGAGAAGTGAGGTAAGGAGGTGGGAAGCACGGAGCACTGTAAGATGTATCAACAAGCTCTCAGATACCATGGTTTAAAGAACAAGGAAGGTCGTCTCTCTGTTGCATAATAATCCTGATGTGAACTGTATGAGTTGGGGGGGGGGTCCTTATTCCATCATCAGGAACACTAATTCTTTCCATGATTACAATCCTCCTCAGGACCTAGTCAGATTAAATCACCACCACATCCAGATGTTGGCAGGCTCAGAGGTGGGATACCCCTGGTCTTCAGACTCTGCCCAAAAAGTGGCATGGTCATTTCTACTCAGTCAACTTGCAAGAATACCATTGCACAATCACACCTAGCTGCAAGGGAAGCTGGGAATGAAGTCTATGTGGGAAGCCATCCATCCAGAAAGAACAGACCTGGGTTCACATCCATTTCTTCCCCTTGGTCACAACGTTGATACAACAAAGTCTCTTTCTGCTTCCCTTTGTTCTATTAGTATCAGTTTTCT